GGCAAGTAAGGACATGATCAAAAAGTTTGGCATGAATGATAGTAAGGCCATTAGCACACCAATGGGAACAAATTGCAACTTGGATAGTGATGCAAGTGGAAATATGGTGGATCAAAAATTGTATCGGTCTATGATTGAAAGCCTACTCTATGTGACCGCATCAAGGCCGGATGTCATGTTTAGTGTATGCATGTGTGCAAGATTTCAAGCCTCACCAAGAGAAAGTCATTTGAAGGCTACAAAGAGAATATTGAGGTACTTGAAGCATACATCAAATTTTGGTTTGTGGTATCCCAAAGGAGCAAAGTTTGAGCTAGTTGGTTATTCCGACTCGGATTATGCGGGATGCAAGGTTGAAAGTAAGAGCACCTCGGGCATATGTCAATTGTTGGGAAGATCACTTGTTTCATGGTCATCAAAGAAGCAAAATAGTGTTGCATTATCAATCGACGAAGCCGAATACATATCCGCCTGTAGTTGTTGTGCACAAGTACTTTGGATGAAGGCCACTTTGAGTGACTTTGGAATCAAGTTCAAGAAAGTACCATTGCTATGTGACAATGAGAGTGCAATCAAGTTAACCAACAATCCGGTTCAACATGCAAGAACCAAGCACATTGATGTCCGCCACCATTTTATAAGAGATCACCAACAAAAAGGGGACATTTGCATTGAGAGTGTAGGCACCGAAGATCAACTTGCCGATATATTCACCAAGCCATTGGATGAGAAAATGTTTTGCAAGCTAAGGAATGAGTTGAATATATTGGATTTCTTAAATATATGTTGATGCATCCCCCACTTATATGACATGCCTCTCCTTCGAGTAATCCAAGGTAAAAGTTGATTGGCATGGCATACATCCTTCCTAAGGACTTGTTTAGTGCATCTAGACATCTATCACATTATATAGGCTCATTCATGAAAAATAAATGATTTTGATGATTGTATGGTACCACTATTGCTTCTATGCTTATTTTGATCTAGTGGTAGCATATGACATATTTGTGGGCTTGTAAACCTAGTGTTTAATCTAGAAAATGAGCTCTAAGTGTTTAACTCAACATGGTACAAGATAACCCTTATTTGGAGGTGTGAAGAAGTTTGTCCTTGGATCGAAACGAGTTAAATATCTTTGGCAAATATTCTAGTTTGAACCAAATTTGGGAATATAATCCTCACCCCATTGATTGACATTGATAATATCAACCTATCTAGTTTTTGAACCTTTATGGTCATTGATGACAAAAAGGGAGAGAAACAAAGATATTAGTACATGGGGAGAAAAACAAAGATATTAGTGTACTAAGATAGTGAAAAGACAATAAAAGGGAAAAACTTGACATAGGGGGAGAGATATGACAAAGGAAAGGAATCAATTAAAATTTTAAGCACACAAGTAGGGGAGCAAGCTCATAAACTTGTATGGTACATTTGAATATGCATTTTATATGTTTGCTTGCATGGCACAAGTTTTAAATTTCAATATCCATGCTTGTGTGGTGTATGCTAGTTGTAGGTTTGAATGATGAAATGAAAATCTAGCATGCATAGGTTATCTAGTGATTTCATTTCCAAGTGTTTCCAAATGGTATCAAGCTAACCATGGTGCTAAGGATGGTATAATGGTACACTCCGATTGGTATCACGCTTTAAAGGTCCATCTTTTATACCTTAGCATCATTTGGTAGACATTGTCTCCTATATTTCCTATGTAAGCATATGTGCAAGCTACAATCCAAACTCTTAGCACATATATAGAGGGAGCAATTGCTACCATATGGGATTCATGAAACTTGTCCATATCCTTTTACACAGTAAATATGCTTGGACAAGCAACATGGATTCAATTGAATTTCAATTCAAACCTTTGTGTAAGGGTTGTCATCAATTACCAAAAAGGGGGAGATTGAAAGCTCTAGTTTGGTTTTGGTGAATTGATGAAACTCTAAGTGCTAACCTAGTTTATCAAGTGATCATGAGATAGGTAGCACATTCCAAGTGGTGAAGCAAATAAAGATCATGACATGAAGATGGTGATGCCATGGTGATGATCAAGTGCTTGGACTTGAAAAGAAGAAAGAGAAAAAACAAAAGACTCAAGGAAAAGGTATAAATTATAGGAGCTATTTTATTTTGGTGATCAAGACACTTAGAGAGTGTGATCCCATTTAGGTTTGATAGCCGTACTATTAAAAGGGGTGAAACTCGTATCGAAATGCGGTTATCAAAGTGCCACTAGATGCTCTAACTCATTGCATATGCATTTAGGATCTAGTGGAGTGCTAACACCCTTGAAAATATTTGTGAAAATATGCTAACACATGTGCACAAGGTGATACATTTGGTGGTTGGCACATTTGAGCAAGGGTAGGAAACTTCATCGGCAGAGTGTCCGCCCGTAGAGTGCGGATAGTCTGATGGTGCCACCGGTACCCTAGACAGAAAAGACAAAGGTCACTGTAAGTGACCAAACGCTGGTCTCGATTGGACCGGCGCGTCCGGTCAGTAGCAGCAGAGGGTGTGCGTTTCGGTCTCATGACCGAACGCTGGGTCGCTCAGCGACCGGACGTTGGCAGGCTGTGTCCGATCATGTTGACGTGGCAGCACAGAGGAAGACACCGTGTGGCCGGACGCTGGATGTGTCTGGTCAAGCATGACCGGACGCGTCCGGTCAGGAAAAATCATTTCTTGAAGCTTACTGGAAACGACCGGACGCTGGGGGTTTAGCGTCCGGTCACTATTAGCTGCTGCGTCCGGTCGTCTTCTGACCGTTGAGATCGGGCGCACAACATTTGAAGAGAGGGACACGTGGCGTGCATCGCATGACCGGACGCTGAGGTCCAGCGTCCGATCGATCTGACCGGTGCATCCGGTCGGCCCGTGTTCTGTGCAGTGTGGAGACCAACGGCTCTATTTTATGGGGGCTTCTATTTAAGCCCCATGGCTGGCTCAAGCTCACCATCTTAGCCATTTGCATTGACATAGCAACCTTGTGAGCTTAGCCAAAGCCCTCCCACCCATCTCCATCATTGATTCATCATCTTTGTGAGATTGGGAGAGAATCTAAGTGCATTGCTTGAGTGTTTGCATCTAGAGGCACTTGGTGTTCGTGTTTTGCTATAGGATTTGCTTGTTACTCTTGGTGGTTGCCGCCACCTAGACGGCTTGGAGCAGCGAGGATCGTCGAGCGGAGGTTGGTGATTGTCTCCGGCTCCGATCGTGATGATTGTGAGGGGTTGTTGACCTTTCCCCGGTGGAGAGCCAAAAGGTACTCTAGTGGATTGCTCGTGGCTTGTGTGATCCTCATCTTGTGTTGGTTGTGCGGCACCCTATTGAGGGTTTGGCGTGTGATGCCAATTAGCGCGTGAACCTCCAAGTGAGTGAATCGCCACAACGAGGAGTAGCTTGCCGGCAAGCAAGTGAACCTCGGTAAAAATCATTATGTTCATCATTTGATTCCGAGGTGATTGGTCTTCATTGATATTGATTCTTGTGATTGATTGGTTCACTCCTCGACACGGCGGTATAACTATCTTGCTCATACTCTTTACATTACCGCAAACTAGTTGTCAAGCTCTTTAGTGTAGCTAGTTGTGAGAGGTTGTTAGTTTGATTAGTGTGGCTCTTTAGTTAGCATTTGAGAGCACACTAACTTAGTGTAGTGACATATCTATTATGTGGATAGAAACTATATCAACTAGAATTGTGGTAGGTGGCTTGCATTTTTGGTAGGGTAGCACAACACTTGCTTCGCCTCATAATTGTCTAACCGGTTTGCTAAGTGTTGTTGTAGAAATTTTTATTATGCTATTCACCCCCCTCTAGACATTAGAACCTTTCACCTACTTACACAAATGAAGAAAAAAAGATAGTGGAAACAATTACTTATATTAAACGACTGCATGTGTAGAAGCAATGCACGCCGTTGTGTCTGGATGTCTCGATTGAAACACGTCGTCCGAGAAAACCACAGTCATAGTTAGGGACAGGGGTTGTCATGAGGGACGGGTGCATCTTTGCTAGATGCGTCGGTGTATAATTCTTGAGGACGACCCTGTTTTCACCAAAACTCCTCCGATACATTTCTTGCATCTAACAAAATGGTTGTAATTTAACAAATAAAAATCAAAACATCATAAATTAATGTCAATGAGAACCATTTGCATTACAACAAATAAAATATAACATACACTTTAGTGCAAACTCTATCTTAGATGCAAACATGAAAACTATATAAAAACTATACTTTGGCCAGCAAAAAATAAAATTTGGTACATCAACAGTGTGTCCATATATTTATTCACATATAAAAGTTGAGATGCAAACTCAAACAAACAAAATTCATATAAAAATTGACCTTAGAATACATGGTAATCATAATTCTAACTAACCAATTAACCTTAACATTGACAATCCCAATCATAATCCTTCAATCCAACGTTCTAACGAACTCATATTTTTCTCTATACCCTAACTACTCATTCAAATCCTCGATCCACCGTGGAGGCCGAGGAGGAGCTTCATTACCTTGACAAGGCCAATGAGGAGCTTCGGGGAAGGTAGGGAGGGGGCCGGCAAGGGAGGAAAATTCGACGACCGGCCGTGGGGGAGCCGGGAGGCAATGGCGCGGCGGTGCGGGCTGGGCGACGACGGAGGTGGCTGCTGTGCAGCGTGGAGTGAAACAGAGGGAGGAAACGGACTGGGCCGCGGGCCTCTATTTGTCACAGCCGCAGTGCCCTGACGGGTGGCGCGTCACAGCCGCGCCATGATCGGTGGCACGGCAAGGCCTGCCACGTCAGCGACCAGCGGGGCGGGACGTTGCCACGTATGCACCCCTGCCGCGCCGCCATGCATGACACGATATAGTTGTTTCGCCGCGCCGTGCAAATAGGCGTGTCCAAAAGTATTAGTTTTGGAGAAAAAATAAACAGTGTCCATTTTAAAAATAGTTTAAAAAAGTGTTAAAAATAATAAAAAAAACGTCGGGGTCAGCAGCCATGGCGATGATGGACAAGTGGACAGGCCTGGGATCGGCGCTGGCAAGCTTCTTCTTCCTCTGGTCCGTGGTGCAGAACCACATCCCCGTCGCCTTCCGCTACCGCCTCAGCACCTGGGGAAACAAGCTCGTCTCTTTCTTCAGCCCCTACCTGGAGATCACCATCAACGAGTACGGCGCCGAGGGCTTCCACCGCAGCGACTTCTACCTTGCTGTCGAGGGCTACCTATCTGACGCCTGCGCACGCCGCGCGCGCAAGCTCAGGGCCGAGCTCGGCAAGAACAGCAAGAAGCTCCAGGTCTCCGTCGACGACAACGACGAGGTCACCGACGCCTTCGCCGGGGCCACCATCTGGTGGTACGCCTGCAAGCAGTTCGCCGGGTCCCAAGTCATCAGCTTCTACCCCGGCGAGGAAGAGCGCCGCTTCTACCGGGTTATCTTCCACCAGCGCCACCGCGACCTCGTCGTCGACAGGTACCTGCCCTACGTCCGCGAGGAAGGCCGCGCCGTCACCGACCGCAACCACCAGCGCCGCCTCTTCACCAACAACCCCAGCGGCAGCTGGAACTCTTACCGTGGCAAGAACGTCTGGAGCCACGTCCCGTTCGAGCACCCGGCCACGTTCGACACGCTCACCATGGACCCCGACGACAAAGAGGAGATCCTTGACGAGCTCCAGGCGTTCCGGGAGGCTAAGGACTACTACACCAAGGTCGGCAAGCCGTGGAAGCGAGGGTACCTGCTCTATGGGCCCCCGGGCACCGGCAAGTCCACCATGATCGTCGCCATGGCCAACTTCCTCGACTACGACGTCTACGACCTCGAGCTCACGGCGGTCAAGAACAACACTGAGCTGCGGAAGCTCTTCATCGAGACAACCGGCAAGTCCATCATCGTCGTCGAGGACATCGACTGCTCCGTCGACCTCACTGGCAAGCGCAAGGACAAGAAGGCAGAGAAGAAGGCCGATGCAGACAGTGACGACAAGCCCAAGCTGCCGATGGAGCCTGACAAGGACGAAGGCAGCAAGATGACCCTTTCGGGGCTGCTCAACTTCATCGACGGGCTCTGGTCGGCGTGCGGCGGAGAGCGCATCATCATCTTCACCACCAACCACAAGGACAAGCTGGACCCGGCGCTGATCCGGCGAGGCAGGATGGACAGGCACATCCAGATGTCCTACTGCCGCTTCCGGGCCTTCAAGGTGCTCGCCAAGAACTACCTGGACGTCGAGGAGCACGAGCTGTTCGGCCAGATAGCGCAGCTGCTCGAGGAGACAGACATGTCGCCGGCAGATGTGGCCGAGAACCTGATGCCCATGTCCAAGAAGAAGAAAAGGGACGCCAACGCATGCTTCGAGGGTCTTGTGGAGGCTCTGAAGCAAGCCAGACAGGAGGCGGCCGCTAAGGCACTGGCTGAGGCGGCCAAGGCGAAGGAGGAAGCAGAGGCGAAGGAGAAGGCAGAAGCGGAGGCAAAGGAGGCCAAAGAGAAAGACAAGGCAGCGGCGGAGGCAACAGAAAACAGAGGAGAAGACAAAGGGAAGGACAGCAAGATGAGCAACGGAGAAATCAAGGAAGGTGACAAGTGACAAGTACAGAGTGAGCTCGCTTACTGGTGAAGTGATGGAGAAAGATAGCTGAATAATGCAGTGTCCTATATGCACTACTGCACTAGGAGACCGAGTGGTTGTAGTTCATTCATGTTCAGAGAAGCACATGTAATGTGTCACTCTCTCCAAATCAAGCAATCCAGTAGCCTTTTTCCGTGTTTTGTGGCCAATCCTCATTGTTCAATAACACAGTAAGGCCTGCTGTCGGTTGTGCTACAGGTTATCAAGTTGCTCTGTAAATTTCTTTCATGTAACCCCTGCTCTCCTCCTCCTAAACTTTGTTTTAGGCAGTGCCGTGTAATCCTATTGTACTTGTTTCTTCCACATTCTTATATAAAGAAAAAACGTGCAATGCACATTCTCGAAAGTGCAGAGGGGGAAAAAAACAATCATCTACAGTTACTGAGGATAAGGAGGTTAAACAGGCATCGATATTTTCTGGAAACAGGAAACAACTGTGACACTTCATCTTCATCTCACATTAGTACATGCTATAAAGACATCCAAGATGTACATATAGGCTAAGACAGTATATATGGTTTTCCCTTTTCAATCGTAACTTCACAGAAGATGTATAGGAGCCACACATCAAGCTTAATCGCAGAGTGAAGGTAAAAGGTATATATTTGTTCAGGCCATGAATTGAAGATCATGTTCCATCTATGTAATAATCTCCAAAAGTTATATTCAGGCTTATACAAATACTCACATAATATAAATCATACATGTACAAGCATTATTGCAAGTTATATTGTCATCTTTCATGAAGACTTCTCACTAGTCTAGAAAAGACTGCAACCTCGCATATATGACACGCCTATAGAACTTCCTTGTTCTGATAAACAACACAAACGCAACAGCAGACCCGAACATACAGACACCGGCCATGATCATGAAAGAGAGCGCAAAGCATTGCTTACCTACACATGAGTGCTCATCTGGTGGCGATTCGATGTCATATATGTAGCCCACAATGCGCACCGAGAGGATGTAAGACCCAACAGGGCTCGCAACAGCCACCATGTTGAATATTGTGCCAAAATGGTTCAGCCCAAAGATCTCAGATGTTATGCTCGGCATCAGGGCCCACTGACACCCATAGCACACCCCGATCAGCACCGACCCAATGTAGAGTGATGCAGGGAGACCGGATGAGATGATGGCATGACCGGCGCTCATGATCAGCAGCGTAACACCTATAAAGAATGGCCTCCCAATTCCTCGCTGGCGAAGGAAATGGTCAGATATGAAGCCTGCACCGAACCGCCCTGAAAAGTTCCATATGCTCCAGAGTGACACAAGTGTGCTGGTCTCCTTGGTCGTGTAGCCAAGTGAGCCGCCGATCTGGCTGATATTGTTCACCGTGGCCAGACCTGATCCCATTCCGCAAGCCATTGCTAGGAAGAGCAACCAGAAGTTGAGTTTGCACATGGCCTGTAATACATTCAGGTTCTCTTTGCCAGCAGACAGGTCTTGGTCAGATCCCCCAAGTGCGGTACTGGAGGTAGCATTGTCAGAATCCTCTGCGACCTCTTCACGGAGCAGTCCAGTCCTTTGTTCTGAGATTGATTCCTCATGTGGTGTCTGGGCCTTTAAAGCGACGGCTATCGGAGACATCACTAGTATCAAGAGTACCACGAAACAAATGCTCTGCACAGCTGAGCTTATCGAGAAAATTTGACCACAGATTATGAGAATCATCAAGTATCCGGCAACAGTAACAGCAATGAGGGAGAAAGCGTCTAGGAATTTCTTGTTGTACCGTTCATTGGGGTTGTGGACATCCACAAAATACATAAGCACCAATGTGACGGCTGTGGGCAAAACTGCCAGCATTAGTATGAAAGAACTGGGATCAATGTGGAGAGTGCGGTAAATTTGGACAAGTATTGCCCCACTTAGGCCTAGAAAACCCTGTTGCAAAAGTAAACAAAAATGAATTGATGTCAGTTGGGGATCAAAACTGCCAGCATTAGTATGGAACTGCAGGTGGGAATGTGGGATCAATAGGAACTTCCTGTCACTTGACTGTCAGGTGGCATACAGATATAGGTCACCCGTATCTGTTTTCTTTTTAACTGCTTGCTCAAACATCTGTATTTCCGTTTGTTAATGGAAATGGAGGAACCCTCGGTTTGGAAAAAAAAAGAAAGAAATAATTTCCTGTCAATTGGCTGGGAGTGAATTATAACATGGTTCGGGTTAAAACCAAAACTGACAAACCAATAGCTTTCATCATACTAGACTGAAGTTTGATGCAAAATGAAGATAATTGATAGAGTCTGATCGAAACAGTTTGGTGGGACAGCAGCATCCAGGAGCAGGACATGATCAAAATTCATGTTATCCAATAAGGCTCCATCCAGATCCCATAAGCAAAGTACTGAATGACAGGTAACCCAGAAAAACGTGACAGGTAACGTGGTGTGCTGATTTCAAGTGTCAGCTGAGGGCTCCAACCCAATGACAACTCTACTGTTGTCTGAATGCCTGTTGCTGAAAGGGAAGTGAAGTACAGAAGTGGAGTAGCAACGTAGAACAGTCTATAAGATCGTCGATCTATAATATAAAAGCTAAAAAAGAAGTACTAGGTAGCACAGCCGCGTCGATTTCTCAGATCCAATATTCTCGATCGCATTCCGGAATAATGGGAAGACAGAACAGAGCAGCGCAATATAAAGAAAGAAGGAATGAGTTGACCTGCCTTCATGATGCCGATGACAGTGCCACGTCGGTCGGGGAAGTTCTCGACGGCGGAGACAACATCAGCGGTGTTGAAGAAAGTCTGCGCCTGCGCGGCGAGCAGCATGTAGAGGCACATGAGCGGGAGCGGCGCGGGCGCGACCCCCGCGACAGCGAGCCACATGGGGAGGTACCCGGCGACGCAGAGCAGGGCGCCGGCGAGGAGGACGATCCAGGGGCGCCTCCGGCCCCCCGGCGCCCACGCGGCGAGGAGGCCCGAGAGGACCCCGGCGTTGGCGCCGACGTCCTTGAAGAAGGCGACGGCGTCGAGCGCGGACTGGTCGTAGCCCTGTGAGGCCTTGAGCGCCGGGGAGTAGACGCCGAAGCAGTAGCAGCTCCCCGCGCAGCACTGGATCAGCGCGCTCGCGGCCAGCGCCATCCATCGCGTCCGCGGCCATGGCACCGGCGGCATCGGCATCGGCGGCGGCTGGGGAAGGGAAGGGGAATCGGATCCCGCCAACCCCCCGTGAGTAGCGTAAGCAATAATGTGGTGGCCGCGCACGTCACCCAATGTCGCATCTTAACTCTCGTTGTGTTGCATGTCTCAAGGTCAAGAGGATTATTGCTCAGGGCTCACCGTGACGTGACTACACTTGAAAACCATCCGATCCGGCCGGTTAGCTCCGGCGAGCTCTCTGATTCCTCAAATCCAAGTTGTTCCATTGCTCACTGACCAAACTGGGTAACCATACATCTCCCAAACCCTAAAAGATAACTTAATCGCCAATCCATTTACATTAGATTTAGAGAGTTACATTAGCAGTTCGCTAATTTGATTTGGTGCAAACTGTCAGCTGCCGGCGATCGGCAGCCGAACTCAGAGGGAGTAGAAGGGGAATTTGGGGTAAGTAGCACGCCGGCTGCTTGCTCGGCTTGGAGGAGGAGAAGATTGTCTTGTTCCATATCCGTCGACCACATCTTCTATCTGTATCTCACTTGTGTACTGGGCCAGACTTGCACATTTTACAAGCCCACTCCAGGCCACACGCGCACGTTCTTGGGCATAGGCCCGGTACTCCTCCATGGCTGTGCATCACCTGGGTGGGGCTTCGTGACACAAACAAGTCAAATTCCTTTGAAGTCGATATTAGAGATACGGAGGCACGCCGCCTCCCAGGGTGTCCACATATGTTCTATTTAGTTGGTGTGTTAGATAGATTTTTCATGACTCAGATGAAGTGCGTCACAACCGGCCTTCCTCTGTGTATTCGGCAATTGATAGATGAAGCAAGTGGACGTATTCAATGGAGCAGGGCTTCCCTGGTGATTGTACGCGGCACGCAAATGGACGGTGACGCGTAGCAGGGGACGGTGGATTCTCGGTATGCATGGCCGGTGCCTAATTAGAATGGTGGTCGGCACGCATGCGAGTACGCGTGCGTGCATGCTGCTGGGGCCTTGCTTGCTTTGCATGCATGCATAAGCTATCTGTTTGTGTGTGCGGGTGCACTGCTGACACTTGCATGCTTGTATGCTTGCTGCTACTACGTGCGTGCATCTGTGAGCCGCGGGTGAGTTTTCCCCCTCTGCCTCTTTCCTCCCTCTCTCTCTGCTCTTGGCCTCCTCTCTCTTTGCCTCTCTCTCTCTCCACACGGCGGCGCATCCAGGCGGATAGGACGAGGTGGCAGCGCACCGGCCTGCCAGGCCGGCCAATGGTGTGGGCGGCCCGGCGACACCTCTCTCTCTTCCTCTCCCTCTCCCTCTCCCTCTCTCCAAATCTGTGGATGCATCGGTCGGCCTCCGGCGCACTAGCGTGGCCAGGCCCCGGCGGTGGGCGCAGCCGCCTCCCCTCCCCCCATTGCGCGCATCTCTCTCTCGCGCCTTCGCTTTGGTGGTGGGCGCGCCAGCCGCGAAGCGCTGGCCGCCGTGATCCCCATCTGCAGTGTCTGTGCGCGCAGCATGAGCGCGCCTTGGGGTCCGTGCCTCCGACACGCACCGGCAAGCGAAGAGGGACATCGCCTGTGGCAGCATGCTCCCTGGGCGGCGGTGTGTGTGTGGTCTACGCGGCTCCACTGTTTGCTCGCATGTTGGCTCCCGAGCCCCTCCCTCGCTTTACCTCTATTCAACCCTCCTTCCCTTGCATAATTTTCACTGCATGTGAGATTTTGAGGGGGAATCTTGGTCAAAGGAGGCAAATGAACAAGGGAAGTTCAGGGCCAGCCTAGATCTATTTTTGTCCCCTTGTCTTACCAGTTTGCATGCTACTAAGGATTGTTTTGTGTTTTGTAGGTTGTGGCCTGCTCGGTTCGGTTGGATCTTGAGAGCACGCAATTATTGTGCCATGGATCTGAGCATGTGACCTTCAACACTGCAGTCTAATGGTTTCTGGTTCGTTGTCTGCTTTTGGTCACTTGCAATGATGAATACACTTTTCTCTTGCCGTTACATTTATTTTGAGGGAATGGGCTACTGCAGTGATGATTATTGTAGTGTTTGATGCAATGATCATGAGCGATCTTTCCATAGTCTACATCTCTTCCTTCTTTCTCATGACTAATGAGGCAATGCTCATGAGCTATGATGATTCTTCCTTCATTTTGCATCTCGTCTTGTGTGTCCATAATCGAGGCAATGATCATAGGGTGTTCTATTTTTGCCATCTCTTTGTACCTGTTCCGTGGTAATTGAGGCGATGGTTAATTGGTTGTTCCTGATTTTTAATGCATCTCTTCCTACCTGTTCTAGTTTGTGTGGTTTGGAGACACCAATGAGGGGTAATATTAGTGCCTGCCTATTGATCCACGGACTATGCGGCTACAATTATCTCTTTGTTATGAAATCTCGGTTTCTGATGACGCTGCCTGTGATGATTTCCTCCTTTGTATACTCTGATGATTGCCTATCATATTCCGCTCATACTTGCTTATGATCATTGTCTGTGATGTTAATACACATGATTTGTGTAATCTGAGATTGTGTTTACTGCCTGTGAATTGATAGTTATATTCTTGTTCTTTCTAGCCTTATGATCATTATTTGTGACCGTTGCTTCCTCACGTCAAATTATATACTGTTGGTTCTGAGCACATGCCCTATTCCCAATGATTACATTGTCAGGCTTCTGTTTTCCCTGCTCCTTTGAGTTTTCGGTACAATTAAATTATGTGCGCTGTCGTTATGTGAACTCAGGTGGATTTTACATTGGTTTTGATCCACTACTTTTGGTTCTTTTATCCAACCCTTTATGTGTTTCATTTGCTTTTGGTCAAGTGGTCTTCTAAAACCAGACATGGGCTGCGCCCGCTGTCTGAATACTCTGCTCCAGGAGAGCTGTGTTTCCAATCCTATCCACCGGACTCAGCCTATTGCCTGATTTTACATTGATTTTAATTGCCTTCTTTCTGTGTTTATCTTGCATCTGATTTAGTCTCCTTCATTCACCTGCTGACCTTGCTGGCCTCGACTGCAGGTTAACACGGTACCAATGTAACTGTTCGTGGAGACATGTTTTATTTTACGAATTTTTTCCTTGCCACATCCATCTAACTCTGTATACATTCTGACGTCCTAAGTAATAGTCTTCTAAATTTTAGCTGTACTACGAGCTTGCAATGGTCCTAGGTTCAGTTACTGGGATGCTATATATTGCTTGTGTTTTAGTCCACTTATTACTTTCGTTACTAAGAGAATGAGTCTATTTTCCTTGGGTGTGGAGGCTACACAGGCAGATGTAGGCCTTGGCCATACAAAAGTAATATGTCTGCCATCTTTACGTGGATGAAAATATTTACCTGTCATCTTAGACTTTTTTTTCAAAAAGAGCCTCATCAAATTAAGGTAGTAACATAGGCTTTTTCTTTCAATAATTCAGTATGCTTGCCAAAAAAAATATTGAAAAAAAAAATATAAGGTCAAAGATCTTGAACATTCATATTATTAATTGAGCCTCATCAAATTGCAGATACTAATGTGGGGTTGGTATCTGGCTCAAAGCCGAAAAGGAAGAGACAACATAGTGTTGGGCGTCATTTTTGGGCAATAAGAGTAATCAACAGGTACCATTCTGTATTCTCATTGTATGGCAAAAGAACTTTGCAACTAACAATATTATTATCATTTTTGTGATGTCCAGATATAGAACAATGTTTCTATTGGAAAGTAGCGATCAGATCACCTTTAAATGCTTGCTTCATGTGGTTCATTGTAATTCAAACCTTTTCATGAGGTTTGATCTATGATTCAGTTCACACTGTTTGTGTCTATGTTCGGCCTTAAATGTGTCCATTAAAATCTGCTCTGTTGTTATCGGTAGCCTGCTCTACCTGTCCATTTGACCAAGACAAACAGATAAGATCCCCTCTGCTGTTTTGTCCCATGGCAATTGTGGCTTACTCATCACTATTCCTGTATCAGTTTTATTGCATATTGCATACCCATTTGTATCGTGATGTCTGTTCTGGATGATTATATAAACTGTATGAAGGTGGCTTCACGATTTTATTCAAAAGCAGTGAAAGCATGTAAAATATTCAGGTAAGTGCCTCTGAGCTTTGGAGCTTTTTTACGTATCTGCTTTGAACCTTATTTTTTCCCCTTCTAACCTGTATTTTACTTAAAGGTTCAGTACCTGCTAAAATTCGTGGTGATAGTAACCCTTGGCTTGGTCATTTGTGGTTTTTGTTGTGGTTCCTACATAGACAACGGTTTCTACATAGACAAGTTATGGTTTGCTATTGCAGATCTAGTTGCCCTTTTATTTTTTCAGCACACCCATAGGCAATATATTGATTATTTCTCTTACCGTGGACATTTGAAAAATTTCTAGGATAATGTGAACAATAACATTTTTAAGAGTGTTTTGTTTGTTCTGAAAGTTCCAAATATAGTAGTGGTTTGCTTTCTTGAACGTGCACTATCTCATATTAATTTATGCAAGCTAAAACATGAACTATTAAGCCTGCTCGGTTCAACTTGCTGCAGCAAGCTATCTCAGCCGCTGCTGTTCACTTATAGAAGACTTCATGCAGCCACATCTACAGTAGCTGTAGGAAAAGCTTAAGTGAGCAGGCTTCCGTTTGTAGACACCTCCACCTGCAACTAGCCTTGACAAGACACTGTTAACACATCTTTTGATTGACTGAGTCGCACTCCCCTGCACCACCGCTGTACGAAATCTATATTCACGTGTAGCGTCAGTTCCTTTTTCACCTTTTGCTGTTTTCACATCTGAGTACAAGCAGGTGAGCAGCAACTACATAATCTGCCTGCGGAAAGCTATTCCGAGACACTGAAAAGGTAGACCACTGCCATATCCTTACTCAGTCCTCTTCACAGCTTTTTAACTCAGGAAACCACACATACCCCATCTGGCAGCTTAAAAGTTTGAGTGTGCTCTCTTATACACCTCGATAGTCTATAAAGTACTTAAACATTAGATTTTCACTAAGCAGGAAAAAAATAGCCAGTGAAGAAACCTTTGACTTAACATATGGCACCTATATTTTTTGGTCTAATACCCTTAGCAGATGTATGTTGCTCCAAAAAGGGTTGGAGGAAAGTAGATATCCTTTTGAATTTGTCGTCATACTTATGTCACTATGCTCTTTCATTCTTGTGTACGTGTCATATTTCTAGTTTTTCTTTTATAAACATTAGATGCGTGTTTTACAATATTTTCGTACTATTTGGAATTGGGTACTACCAGAAAAATTGCAGATCAACCCAACAAACAGAAGTCATATGATAGGATATATTTCATACTATTTATAAGAACCAATTGGTGATGACAACGGAATGTTCTTTGCTATTTTCACTTGCCAGTCTTATAAATTTGCTTCTGTTAGCCTTATGTGCAAATATTTGGACCGTAACAGGTTCATAGGAACAAATTGGCGATGACAATGAATGCATCCTATTATCATAAACAAGTCCCAACCACATTTTGGGTGCGGGTGATGTGCTTGTAATCTAAGAAGAAGGGATCTGGTTTTCGAAGAAGTTCAAGTCTATCGTTGGTTAGTTTGGTCTTAAGGTTCACGATGTTTGACTTCTCAGTCTAGTTTCTGGATCTGTTGGTCATACGTCATGTTTTGGATAATCATTATCTTGTTGTTTCTCCATTGCTCTCGTCTATCCTGACTTCTGGAGTAAGCCTAGGTTGTATTAGGTTGTTCTTAACCATGTAACTTTAAATCCCGCTGTAATTTAGTGTTCGGCGCGTGTAATCTTTTCGTAATTCCAAATTTATTTAAATGTGTTGTAGTTTCACCTAAGGGAAGTGGATCCTAATTCACTCTTTTGTAAACCCTCACGTTAGGAGATGTACTTGTATTGTAGTTTTTCTCTTTCCACCTATAATGTAATCCTAGCCAATGTTGTGCTTTGAATCTAAGTGTGTTAGTTGTTTGAGCCCAACTCCATCAAATACTTCTTTTCCACTAACATGTCATTGATTTGCTGGCCTAGAATAGGCACCATGTAATGACAACCAACCTCTAGGTTGGTTTACAACATTGTAATGAAAAAACCATGTTACCTTTTCTTCCCATATTTTTTCATTTAGTGTACCAAATATACCAACCTTTCGTAGCAACGCGATGAGAAAACATATTAGACATGTGAGCCATATTTTCCAAAATTTTTCCTATACCAAGCACATCACCCGCAGCGAAGCGCGGGCAGCAGTGGCTAGTATATATATATATAATAGAATGGCTAGACCGGGCGCTAAACCTCTATCCGGACGCCCGCGATTGTCTCGTCTCATGCACAAGCTGTCAGATCCGCCCGCCCCTGCGCAGATGTCAGAAGCGCCTACCGGATGTCTGTGACTCATGGCGCTGTCGTCGGTCGAAGTCTAGTCTACCCGCTGCTGCATTCTACCCGACGTCCACGACTTCAAGACGCTTATGGGACGAGCTCGAACTCACGATCAAGATGGAGGGAAGGGAAGGGAGAGGTGAGAGAGAGAGAGAGAGATTTGGCGAGACGCGCCTGCAAGCGAGGAAGGCGCGAGGTAGGAGGCGAAGCCCTACAAAGAAGCCGCCATCCGCCTGATAACCGGTGCCATTGTAACATGTGCAACACCGATCTACTTTTGAAACATCCACATGAAACATCTTTACGAAGACACATGAAACAATTGAAACATGCGGTTGAAACATGGGCGATAGCCATTTGCAACATGTGCAACAACAATATCTACTACTTTTGAAACATGCAGATGAAACATTTGCAACATATATGTCTAAAACACTAAAACACTTGAAACATAGGCTTGCAACATGCATATTTTGTCATTGCAACATATGCAACATCTAGATATACTTTTGCAACATCCATATGAAACACTTGAAACAAAAGTCCGAAAAAAGCTCGAAACACTTGAAAACATACGCATGCAACATGCGATATTATCATTGCAACATATGCAACATCTTAGATATACTTTTGCAACATCTCGCACCAAACACTTGAAACACGGCGGCGGCGGCGGCCACGGCCTACCTAGTGGCAAACTCACATGTAGCCAGCAAGCTTGGGTCAGGAGACGTTATTGGCGTGAGACCTCCGTTGCAGGACATCGGGCCATCATTCCTTCCTGCGATTATCCCGCGCCTGCTCGCTGCCCAGGCTCGAGCCCGTCGGCACGCCTTCTACAGCGCCGCCGCTGCTCGGGCGCAGTTGTCCTGCCTCGTCCGCTTGCTAGAGATGGGGCGCGGTGTGGCCACCGATGGGTATGGTGCGGTGGGGGAAGAGCACGGCGTGACGGAGGACAGGAGCGTGGTGGGGGAAAGGGACGTGACGGGGCAGAGTGGGGCAGGGCGTATGCTTAGTGACACTATGACACCGATGCAAGTAGGGAGGAAATGTCAGAGGTGGAAGAGACGTAGAGGTGTTGTTGGGCCTGTACGCTAGACATGCCCAGAAAAACTATGTCTTGACGCGATGGACAAGCGTGTGCAAGCATTTCCGTATATATAATACAGCCAACAGGCGCTTCAAGTATTTTTGGGATAAGACGTGAACATCCACTAATGTAATTACTACGTACTAGACTAGACCCACCTAGTATTGAGGATCGGAGAGCAACAGGGCCAGCTGGCAAAGAAGATGCACTCCGTATGTCTGTGTCATTCATGTATGTATTGAATCGTCCCCAATGGCCCACGGTGGCGCAGGCCAGGGAGACAACGGGAGTCGAGACAGTGGCGCGATGCGGCGTGGAGAGATAGTGGCGGCCTAGCGTGGCGCAAGCCAGGGAGGGTAAGGGCGTGGCGGTGAGGGTAGTTCGTGCCGACGACGGATTGGCGTGGAAAGACGAAAGAAGAAAGAGAAGAGGAGGTGTCCGTCCGGGTGGGCGTAGGAGAATAAAAGAAGAGTGAAGGAAAAGAAAAGAAAAAAAGTATTATGGACATTTGACCATTTTTAGAAATCGTTTAGAAACTACTTGGAGAAGTTGTTTTACCAAACATTTTTCCAACTAGTAAAGCTAGAGCCAGAAAAGCCGTCTCATCAGAGAAGCTATATGTGAAGTTGTTTGGCGGGAGCCGGACCTCTACCAAACATGGCATTCTCCTCCACTTATTAATTCATTAGAAAGATGGCAATGGATCTTTTTTCGATAATGATGGCGTTCGTCCTGTCTGGATGGACCCGCATAGGAACGACTCGACCGAGGCTGTGACCTCCCGCTCCCATCCATCCCATGACACCCGCTTCCACTTGCTCGGTCCGCTCGTCCGCTCCTCCCCCGCTCTCCACACCCACTCGCTGCCGCGCCCGCACAGGTCGCTGCTGTCGCTCCCTCCCTCCCTCCGTGACCTCCATGCTGCGCCCGCACAGGTTGCTGCCGCTTCCGCTCCCACCCTCCCTCCCTCCGCGACCTTCACGCGACCCCCACTGGAGACGAGGGCGACGGCGGCGACTCCAACGAGGTAGGTCTGGATCTAAGCCCTCCTCCTCCACCTCCTCCTCTGGATCTGAGCGCTCCTCCTCCGGATCTGAGCCTCCTCCCCCCTTCCTCTGGATCTGAGGGACGCAGAAGTGGCTAGGGTTCCGACGAGCTCTGTTGTAGTAGCCTTATTTTGCTGTTCCAACAAGTAATATTTCTTTGTTGCATTAGTCTCTTTTTTTGTTTCTAATGTTGCATCTCGCATTGCAGTAGCCTTGTTATGATGTTGCAACAAGTAATATTTCTTTGTTGCATTAGTCTTTTTTCTGATATTGCTTTCTCGCATTGTGCTTTGTTCTGTTGTTGCAGTAGCCTTAATCTGATGTTGCATTAAGTAATATTTCTTTGTTGCATTAGTCTCTTTTTTTATCTTGCATCTCGCATTGCAGTAGCTTTGTTCTGTTGTTGCAGTCGCCTTGTTCTGATGTTGCAGTAGACTTGTTCTGACGTTGCAAATAAGCAATACTTCAGATGTTTGCATGTCGCATTGCTCTGTGTTGCAAGGTAATGGAGCACGGTGGGGATGGGGCATGGAGGGCAATGGGCGTGCAGGGGATGGCAACACGGCCGGGGATGGCGACGCGATGAGGCATGACGGCACAGCGGTGGACGGGCCGCACGTGGGGGAGCGCTCGTTTTCAGACGCGGGGGCACGCTCGTTCTATTCGCATCGGAGAGGTGGTCCCGTGGGGCGCGGCGAGAGGACGGGATGGCGGCGCGGCGAGAGGACGAGCCATGCGCGAGTGGGAGGACGAGCCGTGCTCTATCCGTATTGTATCTGGTCGGGATCGAAACGCTACGTGCATTAGGCGCGTGTGAACGCGCCCCTGAAGCCGGACGGTTCGGACGCTAGTTGCGTCGATCTTTTTTTTAAAAAGTATAACACCCATTCAATACATTAACTTCCAAACCAATCATCACACAATTAATATATATGCTCACAACCAAACCGACAAGCTTAATCAAATCCTCTCAAACAAAATGAAAAAATAAAACCACCGACGACCAAAAGAAAGAGAAACTCACGTATACGGTATACATGCATATATGTACGTGTAGTCCGATATGATGGAGCTTAATGTCATGTCATATGGAGACGCTGTTGGGTATCCCTTTGCCGGTGATCCCCTTCTCCTTGCCGCCGACGTTGCCGACGTCCGGGAACAGCAGCGTGTACGGCACCTTGGCGGGTCCCTTCCGGTTCTTGAGACGCAGGTCTCTGTTCCTCTCAGTGACCCGCTTCTCCACCCGGCGGTGCTCCTCCCGGAACCTGTCGAGCAGCTGCAGCACCTCGCCGTCGTCGGTCCACGCCGCGGTGGCGCGCTGGCCCAGGTAGAGCTCGTCGGAGGTGTGGTTGGAGAGCACCTCGATGAGCGTGAGCCCGAGCGTGGTGGTGAAGCGGTCTCGGGCACCGTGTCGAGGAAGAACCTGTCCGGGTCGGCCTCCAGCTGCGCCATCTCCGGGGATCCCGGCAGCGGCAAGAACCGGCGGCACCGGGTGGGCCGGTTGGGCATGAACCCGGCGTACCCGTACTGGCCGAAGTTGACGGCGGCGTGCAGCGCGGAGGCGATCCAGATGAGCGTCGACAGCGACTCGGCGAGGTTGGCCACGGTGTCGAGCTCCAGCCAGCACACCGGGTCGCGCTGCCGGTCGCCGTGGCCGACGGTGCGCACGTCGTGCCACCACGCCTGCAGCTCGGCGTCGGCGGCCACGGCGGCGTCGGAGTGGTAGAAGTGGGCGCAGTAGCTCCGCACCCAGCCGTCGATGGCGCGCCACACGTCCATGCCGTCCACCGCGTACGGGTAGTCCTCCACGTGCAGGTGCAGGGTCGTGGTCCGGGGATCCTTGGACGCCATCCCCCTCTTGACGAGGTCGTTGGGCAGGGACTGGTCGGTGAACCTCCACTCGGAGTAGATTGCCGAGGACATCTCCATGGCGTACTTCCCCGGGGACATCCGAACATGGTCCTCTCCAGGATGCCTCCTGCGCTGAGCAGGATGCTCCTGGACAGCGTGTTGATCTGCATGTTGTCCTTGAAATGTGGCTCCAGCAGCTTGTGGATCGGGTGCATGGCGCTCAGCTGCCTCTTGGTGGCGATGATGAACAGCTCCACCGTCGCGTGCGTGAACAGCCTGTACATGTGGTGTCGGCATGGATATGCAAGCATGGTCATATACTCGTATATGGATGCATGCATCAAGAACGTACGAATCATGCACTGCATTGACCACATGAAACAGATGACATGGTACCGATGCATGCTTACTCGATCACTCACCAGTGGCTGATGAGCTGATGGTAGCCTGAATCATTGACGGAGACATGAGCCTTAGCAAGCCACCACAGATGCCCATCGGTGCCTTGGCTCGCAGGGAGGAAGACCCTGCTGATCTCGCCGTCGCCGGCGCCGTCACTGGGCAGGCTGAGCTCTATGACGAGAGGCTTGAGGGTGCCGTCGTCCTTGAGGAAGAGCAGCGTGCGCGACGCGTAGACGCACACCCCTTCTTGCGTGTTGATGCGCCGCAGGTACGGCATCACGTAGTCATGGTGGTCAAGGATGTACAGCCTCTTCTCTTCTAATGCCTGCATAATACTCCGTATCATATACATACATAAAAGACGGTTGCATTGCATTTACATGGTTAAGTAAGTTCTTCTCTGAAACACAAAAATTTGACGACGACTGACCTTTTGGACCGTTCGTTCTTGAGCTGCCTCTCGATATGCGCGGCGGTAATGGAGCTCTCCTTGCCTCCTCTGCTCACCGGCGGGAACACCTCTCGTCTCCTGATCACCACTGGATTGAGCCCCGCCAGCATCTCCTCGCGAATTCCTCGTCGGTTCGCCATGCCTCTGGCTCATCTGCAGCACCAGCCATCAAATAAGAGGAAAGATGATTCATCATCAGACATCAATCTAGCTAGTTAATCCAAGGAATTGTTCCCTGTCAGAGAGAGGCAGAGCAGAGCACACAACAAGTGTAGTGACAAGACAACGACTCACGCTCGATGACTTGAGGGGTGGGGAACTTGACGGGCGTCTCCTTGACCATCTTGGACACCTGCTTGTAGGTCTTGTGCGACGGCACCGACGTCTTGAGCTTGTCCATCACCTGCCCGTCCACGACCGGCTGCTGGGGCTTCCTGTACAGGTCGCCCTTGAGCTGCTCGAACCACGACCGGAAGCTGTTGATATTGCCATGGAACTGCGCCTTAGACTCCGGGAGCACGAAGTGCGTCACGGCCTGCACCGCCAGCGTGAGCACCTCCGCCAGCTTCGTCGGGCTGAACCGCTCGTCCGGCGGGATGTAGAAGTCCAGGTTGATCATGTGCTTGCGCGTCTCCGTCACGCCGTCTGCGATCAATCAAGACTAGTGTCAGTCAGATTTAGATGCAGAAATCAGATCAATGGAGATAGATAGCTAGCTAGCAGTGGTGTGTTGTGTATATGTGCCTGTCTTGAAGAGAGGGCGGCCGGTGCGGCAGCGTCGCGGGTACGGGTACATGGAGGTGATGCCGCCGAGCACCGGGCGGGCGTGGTCCTCCTTGACTCCTTGTCGGGGTTGCCCAGGTCGTTGTAGTCGTCGTAGTCGTAGACGCGCTCCCAGTCCTTGCGCTCGCCGCGGCCGCTGCCACGGAGGCTGCGCAGCTCCTCGTCGCGCAGCAGACGCAGGGCCTCGGGCGTCTTGTCAGGCAGGTAGCTCTGTTGGGTTCGCCATTGTCAATCTGTCATGTCATGGAAGCTTAAAAGTACTAGTAGGTCCATGATTCGGTCCTGACGACACGCACCGTGTTGATGAAGAAGACGCGGTCGGCGTTGGTCTTCTTGTAGGGGTAGACCCAGGAGTTGCAGTCGAAGTGGATGCTCCGGCCGGCCTCGGGCATGTCCATCTGCACGTGGCGGAGGAAGAAGTGGTCGTTCCTGAGGCCGTTCTTGACGACGACGGTCCCGGCGTGCCGAACTCGGCGTCCACGAAGAAGGTCACCTGGTACGTCATGGTGCTCGTCTTCACGGCGCCCTGCTTCGCCTTGGTCTTCTTGCCGCCCTTGAGCGGCGCCTCCGCGCTCAGCTTCCCCTTCCCGGTGTCTGCAGATTGCGATTGCGATTGCATGCCCAAGCAGTTGAATTTGAAGCAGCAGTAACCGATGGATCAACAATTGATGAATTGGATTGGAATTCAAGACGACAAACAAGCAAGCAAGAGTACGCTGCTGGGTGGGTGGTGAACAAGAAGAACGTACTGGGATCCATCTGTGTGCTGCTGAAGAGGCGAAGCGTGGTGGTCTTCCCCGGCGACGACAGGCCCAAGTGGCAGGACACGACCACGGTGCCACTGATGGCGATGTGGTTCTCCGGCGCATGAGCCGGGCTCCGGCGGTCCCAACAGAAGGGCATTTGCATTGGCCGAGAAGGATCGACGGAGCAGTAGCACCAGCAGCAACGTACGGCTAGCTCTAACGTACACCTGACCTGAACCTGGTCCAAGCTAGCTAGCTCTCTGATCCCTGTTGAGGTTAATCCCAAGCGCTAGCTAGCTTATATACATGTCAGTCGGCAGTCGTAGTCTAGTAGATGCATGCCACGGGGGTGGGGATGGATTATATTCTTGGAGTGCGTACGTGGGCTTGCAGGCCGGGGATGATCGAGCTAGCATCATTCGTCTGGAGGGAATGTGCTGCTGCAGGATTGAGCAAGAAAAGCTAGCTAGCGCGCAGAAAGAAGAAAGATCGAGGAGGATGGGGAGAATGTGTGCCAGCCTTTGGCCTCACGTACCCCCATCTTCTTCTTCTTCTTCTTCTTCTTCTTCTTCTTCTTCTTGTGTGCATCTGATGCTACCTGCTGGCTGCTGGCTGCTGCTGCTGCTTTACTTTTCTTTTCTTTCAGGGAGAGGGAAGCATATGTATCCAGCCACAAATACAGTGCAGTTGAGAACTCATCAGTTTCATTTCATTCTATGTAATGTAATGTATGTATGTATGTATGCTTTTGTCAGTTTCGTTCCATTCTGTGGGGACAGGATAAACATGCAACTTGCAGCGTATCACTGACTAGCGCAGCAGCAGCAGCAGTTAGTTACTATAATAAACTGAAAGTGAGCTCGTCCTGGAGACCACCGCATCAATTGGTGCGGCAGGCCTCCATCGGGCCGGCCCGGCTTGGCACGGCCCGGGCACGGGCCAGGCACGGCCCGGAGGATGTCGGGCCGGCACGGCACGCCGTGCCTCCCGTGCCGTGCCGCTGCGGGCTTCGTGCCTTGCCATCAGCCCAAGCACGGGCCTGTGGGCCTAAATCCGTGCCGTGCCGGCCTGCTAGGCACGGTCAAATCACCAGGCCGTGCCAGCCCGAGGCCTGTAGGGTTCAAAACACATCAAAAAATTCATCTCAACAAGAAGTATTCAAATTTGAACTATTTTTTTCCCAGAAGAACTTCAAACCAAAACCAAAACCATACACACAGAGAACAAGAGGAAATTAAAAGGATAACTGAGCTGTGTGGCCGCCTTGCTCTGGGGCCAGGCCAGGCCAACCGGCAGGAGGCCATCCTCGTCGGACATGGCTGCCTCTCCAGCCCCGTTCCTCGACCAGCACCCAGAGTCCAGAGAAGACGACACTCAGTCAGCAACGACGGCGGACGACGGAGGAGGGACAAACAGAGACAACCAACTCACATAATCAACGAGATCTAGAGGGGAGATAGGGAGAGGGAGAAGGGAGAGGCAGGGATGGAGGGGAGGACGCCGGCGGGAGGCGGATCGTGGTCACCGGAGTCGGCGTCGGAGACGGCGAGGCGTCACTGGCCACTGCGTTTGAGAGCGGTGCGGCGGCTGGTGGTGGTGGGATGCGAATGGGCGAATGGGGAATTGGGGATTAGGGTTAGGTTACGAGCGGGAGTGCGAGACTGAGGGGAGGCCAGGAGGGGGGCGCCGCATCGGCCGCCTTTTATAGGTGGGGTCTGGGGTGGCGGCGGGGGAGCCGGATAGCTAGGCCGCTGTCGGGCCTCCTCCAAAACCCTGCCGTTGGCCGTACAGCCTGCTGGCTCAACTGCCGGCCCAGCAGCCTGAGCCCGGTGGCCTGCAGGCCGGGCCGTGCCATGTCGGACCAAAAGGCCGGGCTTCGGGCTGGGCTGCCGGACCTCGGGCTGCATGGCCAGGTATAGGCCTCACAAGTCAGAACAGACGATCGATGTGGATTTTGATTTGGTGGTTGATGCATGTTCTCGGATCCATTCATTTGTCGATCTAGCCAAACACAGTAATGGCTTGATGATAGAAATATCACTCGGCTTGGTACGTTGGCCAAGTGCATAATTCAATCGGCTTGTTTGGACAAGTCAAATGGCACGGTTAACAGCTAGCAGCTTACAGGCTAGGTAATAAAGGAACGTACGTTATTGATGATAAAAGAAGAAGAAGAAGAAGATTACTTGCAGTAGCTGTTGGAGCTTTGAAGGGAGCTATAACGTGAGTTAATTGGCAAGATGATTAAATAAACGGAGAATATAAATAAACAAAGCAAAAGGATGCCTCATATATATACGCCAAAGAACCTTAAGCCTTCACCTACGTATAGTTACGGCCAAATATACAAAGGAGGATCAATAAATAAGCCTCACTGTTCTTGGTTTATTCGGTCATCAGGACTCAGGAGTTCGATGGCCGGAATCCCCAATTTGGTGAGCGACACTCGTTAAGAGTTTTTCACCACTTCAGGTGCGGAGTCAAATCCCGCGCCGCACCTACGTCTTCGATCAAATTAATTAGCGCGTGGACCATGAACGACGAATTAACCCTGAGAGCGTGTGCACTACTGCACACCGTGTCCACCAGCGGGCCCGGTTCTGTCGTGAAGCAGGTAGGTCTCTCTTTCTTTCTTTCTTTCTGTCGGGTTCATAACCTGGTCTTTCGGGACTGGCTTTCACACCAGGGCTCGGCCCAAAAACGGCATGTAGTTCATGGGCCGCCCAAGAGTCTAAAACACAACGGGTCGGAGGAACAGTCCGTCGCTGACCGGGAGGTCTACCCAAAAGAACAAACGCCGCTCTTCAACTTCTTCGCCCACCTCTCCGATCGGAACACTCGCCGGACACCACCGCCTCCAGGCGTCTCTCCGATCGGAAGGCCCGGCCTAAAACGCTGCTTCCTACTCCGACCCACGACTCCGACCGGGGACCCATAGGAAGCCCGCTTCGCTCTCTTCTCCGACTGGCTCGGCTAGGGTCGATGGGGCCATCCGACTGTGGACGCCCGCTTCGGAAGAGACAGGGCGAATGGAGAAGGCAGCGCACAAAGTCAAACAACGATACGGACCATACCTTGTATCGTCTGGGAACAAAGTGCTCCACAACCGCCCGACACAAACAAAGATTGTAGGCTACCGACATTTGTATCTACAAGATTGTAGGCACCGTTGGACTCCGTCAGGCAAAAAGCCCCACATGCCTTTGGGCATCGATAGTACTGCGTGGGCGCCAGGATTCACCATATACTGGTACACGTGGTAGGGCTCCTCACATACCAATGTATTTTGCATGTACCAACATGCAGCCTTCCGAAAAAGCCAACGCAACCTCCCATATGCACATG